AGGATAATTGGCTGGATGAGGAGGATGAATGACTTGGTCTGGCTGGTGAGAAATATTGACCTTGCATTGGATGAAGGTTGGCTGGGTATAATCGCTGAAAATTGATGGGGAGGAGCTCAAGTGTTCGTTGCAGCACTAAAAAAAAAAAAAACCGGAGCGTAACACTTGCTTTTGCGTAACGCTTGGTTTTCCCGACTATGAGGGAACCGAATAGGAGGGTAACCGGCTATTAAGTTCAACACTGTACGAGTACATTTCTGTCTTGCAAATCATGTGAATCATCTACCATATTAACTTAAACGCTACCAAGCCCCACATACTTTATAATCTACAGTATTCTTAAAGAGACGCCCTAATGTTAATTCTTCGACACCCATCGCTTTGTAATTGACTTTTTATCAGAACGAACAAAACTATTGAAATCTGGTATCGCAGTTTGGCATGGGAAAGGAACGCTATGAGAAAAAACATGATCATAATCGACAATGCTGGATCATGATCAAGAAATGGGAATTCTTGGGCTTGGTGAGGGTCTGCAAATTTGCCCGGTCATTCGATAATGGGGTTCTCCCTTGCTAGGTTGTACGCCGAACCCTTATGATCTTCATTATCATACCGGTATCTATCCCTAGCCGATGCTAGAAGGGGCCGTCACTATTGATAACCTGGCCTAAAAGAACCTTGAACAAGCAAGTTCCACTGTCTGTGTAATTTATTTCTAGTCGATCCCGTCATTGAGGTCGATATGTTAGCCCCACAAGTCCCGTCCCCTCCCATTGCCGACCAAACTACCTTTGCTGGCATTCACCATAAAAATCTAAATTTCGCAAACCAGGAGTAAGTCTTAATGGCCGAGAGGGAACATTTCGAACGAGGAACTTCCAAATAGCGCTATCCTAATTTTTTTTTAAATTTTTCAATTCTCTCTTTTCGCTTCGTTTCGGCTTGATCCTTTCACGACGTCTATCTCCGTGCGAGGGGTGGGCATGGCCCCTAGCGGTGGTTATTAGCGCGCTACCACCTTTTGGCGCTACGCCATAGTCTACAGTATCTACAGTATTATATCTTGTCGGAATACCGTACCTCTACCGGTGGTGCATCTTGCATAGACTAGACATCGACACAAGCCTGAACTAAAAGTACGGTACCTCACCGTATATTAATTCCAACCAGTATCACGCTCTAAGGGAAAGGATGGGGGAATAAAGGACAACCTCGCCAGGAATTATGGACAAGCCTATGCTTTCTCAATTTCTTGAGTTGAAGGGAGTTTCCTTGTTTTCGCAGTTTGAGTGGAGTTCTTCCGGCCACATCCCTAGCATTATAGCATCGGAATACCGGTACGGGTGATGAACCGTTGGGGTACCGGTAGTCCAGCTTTTTAGGAGTTTTAGGGTAGGGTGAATACGGCTGTGGATGGAACCAGGTTGGGTAGGTGCTTTGGTGCAGCATAGAAGGCCCGGTAGTATTTCGAGCAGCAATCGAAAAGATGTAAAACATATAATATGAATCGTGAAACTGTTCTGAATACGGTTCCTGCCTTGATTGTAAACCCTCCTACTCGCAAGGATGCTCCACCGCATTAACTCACTCAACTGGGCCTCCTATTAGTAGGTTGAAATGGGGTGGGGCCTCAGGGGATTAATTTTCATAAAGAGAAGTAAAAATCAAATCGCTGTCTTGAAATACGAAATAAACGCTTAGGCGCATGATTCTCGACCTCGTCCCAAGTTGGGGCGAGGGAAAATTCTTAGATAAAGGAGGGCAGCCCGCGTGCTGTATTCTTCCAAGTATGATACACTCCCAATATTACCAACCTCTGCTTCCAATTGTGACCAACCTGATATTGCGAGATAAATTGCCCAATTCCCTTGGCACGCCTTACCCCATTTTACCTGACTGGAATGAGGTCCAATCGAGTGACCCTAATACTAATACTCGAGTACAGTGCTTCAGTGGGCCCCTACCTGTTCTTTATGGTTGTTTTTAAATAGAGAGAGCTTTCTGCTGACCTAAACACTCAAAAACACGAGCCCGATAAAATACTACCGAATGATGTACTATGATGGTGTACTAGTACGCCGAATAGAGTACAATCACCGAACGGCAAAAGCAGCCACCACGATCGGCCATCCAAATAACCTACGGCAAGAAGGTGTCCGACCCTCGACTCGCAACATCTAGAGATCTCGATGTGGATGAAACGAATAGCTAAGGGATGCCTGGTCAAGGGGAAAACTCTGATTGCCAGGGCAGGCCTGGGAGTGGAGGGGTTAGCCCGTTCAGCCCTCTCTTCTGCCCATGATCGCCGCGGATATCCACCGACGTCCACCATGTCGGGACAAGTCTTCCTTCCTTCCTTCCACGCTCCCGTGCTAACAAAAGGGAAACAAATACCACAAAGATTCCTATGTAGTCCTTATGAACTTTCCGTTTCCTACTCTCCCGTTTCCGCCGCTGTCATCTCTGACTGGCCCGTTTTCGGCCAATGCACTGTTCCCATGCGCATGGCCAGAACCAAAATCACGAATGAACGAACGGCGAACGCCGAACGCCGCACAAGGGAGTAAATGGCGACGGCGGAGATGCGAACGAGCATTCCGGGCATGTAGGATGTATTCCAAACATGTTGAGCAGGAATAGTGGCAGTATTCCATGGTTTCCAACAATTGTATGGCACGGACCAGTGGGTTAGAAGTTGGGGCGGGTAGTTTTTCCGAGTAGTGGGGTGGCGGTAGAGGTGTCGTACTCGCATGTATTTAGGCGTTGGTTTTGGCTACCGGCGGGGAAGCGCCTTTTCGGTTATCCCCCCCTTGGTCGTTCCGCTGAATTTCGTGCTGTGCACTAGATTTTGGTACGTAAGCTTTTCAAGTACAAGTGTTAAATATGCTACCTTTAATTCAGAAGTTGTAGGAGTGTATAGCCGTTGGGAATGCTACTCGGCGTGCTCACAACTCACCCAGCATGCTCGGAACCTGCCTGACATGTTTAAAACATGAGCGACATATTCAGAACATGCTCGATAGCCGGAGGAGCAGCATATCCGATATTCCACCAAATTATCCGCACCCGTCGGTCAACCTGCTCATTTGGGCATCCGTTTGCTTGTTCACATATTGGTCCGCCCAATTGTTCGTCTCTATTCCATTTCTTCGCGTATTCGGCCGCTCGATCATCTGTCCGTCCGTCCGTCCACTGGTTTGTTCGCGTTGAAAATCATGGATGCTGCTCGACATGCTCAAGACTTTATTCCCTTGTCCATCGGCATATCTGTCCGCCGGAATCTTTACCCGTCCGTCCAATTCCCGTCTGCATATTCACCGTACATTCTCGGAGCCGACCGTTTGTTCATTCCCGCCCGCCCACTTGTCTATTTCCGCATATCCACCACTAGTTTGTTGTTTTGGCGCATTAGCTTTGTAGGGGCGGAGGTTCTCGTTGTGAGCTTGGAAAGAGCTTCCGATGGAGAAGGATATGAACGGCAGCGGGAGCTATAGACCGTCGGGAGTCTTTGTTCATGTATTTAATTTGTTAGCATTGGAGCGTGGGAGGCAGTGGGAGTGTGGAAGTCAGTAGGAGCACGGAAGGCAATTGCAGAGTCTTTGCGGAGCCTATCGTTTGTTCTTTCTTTTGTTAGCATGATTGATAGCGTGGGAGCGCATCGAGGAAATGGAGATGAGTGTGGGAAGTGTTAGAGATACCGGTATGCGGTGATCGCAGGAAGGATAGGATAAGTGATCTTTGTCGTTTATTTATACTCCTCTCTTTTCCCGTCAGTTAGTTTAGTTAGTTGTGGAGTGTGAGCGAGCAGAGAGAGTTGTCGAATAGAGCGAGTTGCGGAGCGACCTTGGTGAACTCCCCCGCTTTTGGTTGTGCAGAGTTTTTCACAGTTCGTTTAGTCATCGCAGTTTTGTTTCGTCGTTGTCCGGTATCGTCCAGCTTCCGGTTAGCAATTGCTTTCCAAAAGTTCGCCGTCGGGTTGCCCGCCTATCTGCCTATTATCTTGTCAGTTTGTTAGCCAACGATCCGCCCGTCTGTCCCGCCCTCAGTCCGCCTGCCCGACCAACCTAATTGGCCATATCACCGGTCCCTCTGCTGTTCGCCCACTCGTGCCTTGGTTTGTGCTATCACGTCTCGGACCGGTATGGTAGCATGGCGGTGGGAGTACGGAGGGTAGCGGGAGCGTGGAAGGTAGAGGGGGCGTGGGAGGAAATTGGAGCATCTTTGTTCGGTCTGTATTTTCGTTTGTAAGTACAGAAGTGATATCGGCGACGGGAGTGATATCGGTAGCGGAGCTTGTACGGCAGTGGGAGTGATAACGCGGGCAGAGGTAGCAAAGCCGCGGGAGAGTTCTCTGCGGTGTCTATTATTTTGTTCTTTTATTCTCTCTTTCGTTAGCGGTGGGAAGAAGCTGAGAGGGAAACTTGACCGGATGAGCAGGGATCGCGCAGGATATGTGTGGAATTCGGCGGAGTTCAGTGGAGCAAAGGGAGAAGGGATGATGACCGTTTATTTATACTCCTGTCTTTTCCATATGTGTTAGATAGTTGAGTTGAACAAGCAAGTTGATGAGAGTACGAGCGTCTTGGGGAGAGAGAACAGTGGAGATTACCCCTCTTCTGATTGCTGCGTGAACGCCGCCTTGGCGTTTCGTTTCAGCCGAGTGATAGTTCGTGATCTCTGCCGACGTGGTTTTACAGGTTCCGGAAAGTTATCGCTCTTTAACAAAAGCCAGATTTGGTGGCCCTACTGCCGTGCAAGGGCGCGCAGTACTACGCAAGGGCCATACGGCTCCCTTTTAGAAAGCAACAGCTAACCGGAGGCAAGGTTAAAACAAAACTGCAATGACCAAAGTCGCTGTGAAAAGCTCTGCATAACCAAGAGCGGGGAAGTTCACACTATCGCTCCACAACTCGCTCTATTGCATGGATATGTCTGCTCGCTCACCACAACTAACTAACTAAAACAAACTAACAAGCAAAGGCAGAAGTATAAATAAACGGCAGGAAGGCACTATCATATCCTCCCTGTGGTCACCACATATCTTTAACACCCCCCACACTCATCTCCCTTTGCTCTGTGTGCTTCCATGCTACAATAACAGAAGAAACAACAAACGACGGGCTCCACAAAGACTTCCATAGCGCTCCCATTTCCCTCTGCGCCCTTCCCACTGCCTTCCGCACTCCCATGCTAACAAAACAGATACAGGAACAAGGACTCCCGACGGTCTATAGCTCCCGGAGGTCTATAACTATACCCCCTTTCCCACCTTCCTCCCACCGGCACTACTATTGCCATCGTACGGATGTGCATTGCTAAAGTGCACCCATAGCAACCTTGGTGCCACAAACAAAGGAACAGACGAACTGGAAAAAACGAGTGGCGCGGGGGAGCGAACAGGCGGGAAGGGACAAGTGGAGGGGCGGAAAGGGACAGACAAACGGCTTCGAGAACGTACGACAGATAGACGGACGACCGATTGGCGGACGGGAAAGGGTAGAATGTCATAAGGATGCCGAGCAGCATCCACAATCTCCAACACCCCCAGGTGATCGTGACTATAACCTCGGCGGAGACAGGTCGACCGAGGAAAGCGGCGAGATTCCTACGCGTATTATACATTGTGTTTTGAGACGCCGCAACTAAGTAACGTCTGGGCGGTGTGAGGACGTAAACTCTGTTGCCGGGAAGCCCAAGGCATATCTGGAATAAATTGGCTTGAGATTCGCGAAAACTTCAAAGCTCGCGAGGTGCTCGGTCGCTATGGGGGGCGCTGGAAGAATGAGGCCAACGGGAAGAAAAAGAAATGAGAAATGGCAGGAGAGCGGGATACCTTAGTTGAACAGGGCATTGTCGTGGAGTTGAAGGAAATATTGGGGAGAGGTAGGGAGATCTGGATTTTGAGAGTGTGAAAGTTTAAAGAGAAAAAGGTGTTTAAGCCGCCACGATTAGTAATACAACGGAAATACCTGTACTTGAGCACCACCCTGATCTCCAGCGCAAGACTTTGGTGTGAGTTAATTCAACTCTCTCTCCGCACATCGCTCGAGTCTACTAACCAACTTACTAAACGGTAAATGCAGGGGTATTATATGAATCGCCACAAGGGAGTCCTCCTATCCTTCCATCGATCTGCATTTTCCTCCATGCATATTTCCTTCCGGCACTCCTTTGAGTACCCCCAAGCAGACAAAAGGAGTACAGAGATCACAAAGACTCCCACGGTTCGTAGCCTCCACTTCACTCAGTCCCTTTGACTCTCCAGTACCGCTTCCAACGGACATGCCCTTTACTTCCGGCGGATACATCATTTCTCCCAAACCGTATCTCCGAATACCTTTATCCGAATAAATGAGACAACATCCTGAGCATGCTGAGCAGGATCTACTTGCAACAAGGAGTAGATTGTTTCTGCTAGTTCTCGGGTTCCGTATGGTCGAGTACTGCCAAGGCCTCACTCTTGACCTCGACCTCTCTTAAATTAGTTGTTGGTTCACTACCGGTACGGTTTTTGTCACTGTAGCCCTTTTACCCATTCGGGCACTGTGCATGTAAAACCCACATTCCCCGCTTGCACCCCGCCAGCCATCGAGGGTTGATGCGTTTTCCGCGGGCGGCGTGGAATCGCCACTTCATGCTGGTCAGGGATGCGCGCGCAACTGTGTCGCATGTTGTAGATGAATTCGGTGCTAGAAAGAGGGTAGGGAGTTCTCAGTCTTGCGATGATATGTAGAGATCGGGTTCCTCTAATTAGGGTGAGAGAGATGAGGAGTATGGGAGAAGGGAAGAGTCAAACCATATGTAGGGTCCCTTGATTCGCTTCATTAAAATTGAGTAGAATCTTCCCTCTTTTTTTGTAAATTCTTCGGTATCGGGAATCCGTACTCCCTCCGATCTGATAGGATTTGGTGTATATTCCCTTCTTTGCCCGGGCGCTGGGCCGGTAGAGGAAGTTGCGCCATCCAAGAACCCCTATCCCAAATTTGACATTCGGTTTGAGAGAGGGGTATGGCGGAGCGGCAGTCGGAAGGGGAGAGCCGGAAAGTAAGCGGCAGGAAGTTCACTTTATTTCATAGCTTCAGAGAGTTCGATTCCCTTACGAATGCCCGAGGGATTGGGCTCTGCGGTTGTGAGCATACCAAGCCTAACCATCGTTCCGGCACACTAGGAAAACCGGTATACCTATGAATGCTAACACTATAAAAATAATCACTCACTGCTATCTTATTAGGCTGGGGGAGTATGTTTTTTAGTTCCTCTCTCGCCAATCTGTCCTCACATCTACGAATGTTAGATGTATACAAGCGGAGGAATTATAGGTACTGGAAAGACTTCAGGTATTAGCTAGGGTGTAAGTATGTACCATCGGGAGTGGATTCTTTTAGCTCCATTAAGGGTTTTATCTATACACAGGAAGTGGGTATCATAGGTGACAAGTGAATAACTCAGGCTAGGATGCCCCAGCCATGAAGGAGGGTATCCGAGCAAGTGACGGGATCTGTGGGGGGGAGGTATGATTGAGAATCTCAAGCCTAACTATACTGTGTATACCTCAGGGTAGTGTTTAAAAAAAGAGAGAAGAGTATGGCTGGGAAAGACTGGGAATAGCGCTATCTTGACTCCGGGTATGTTCTGATAATCACGCAGTAAAATGGGTTGATCCCCGGTCTTCCCGCAGAAGCGCCGGAGATTCATGAGCAGATCCCGACTAGCTTTAGCCAAAGTGAACAGTGTGCGCTCGCCGTCTCCAAACGACTTAACGTTGAACCTTCGATCCACAAGTGAGAGTCTCGTGGCTTCCTCGGAGCCGCCTTAAACCGCAAGTCACAATTGTGTCGCGGGTGCTGTCCCACCAACCCCGTGTTGGACGGAAATGTTTCTTGGCTGCTCACAGCATATTTTCCCTTACGGCAAGGACTTCACAACCCTAGCCCTCTAGGCCTATATCAAATATTCCGACGCCTCTATGTTTGACTGATAGTTGGTCCTACACATAAAACAACACCTGCGACAACACCTGCGACGACTCTATGTGAAGGCCTTACTCCTATCATATGGAAATACCGAATATCCTCGGTCAGAACATACCCTCGGTCGAATCCTCTCATCCTCGGCTGAAGCGGAACAATGGACGGCAGTGAAATTGAGCATGATGGAAAGCACGGCATACGCTGGAAGTATGCGGAAGCGGATCAGGGTGATCCAGAGAAGGATAAAAGGCAGCCTGTTTTCCCTTTGTTAGTTGTTTTCGTTCATCATCCAAAACTGTCTCTCTTTCCTCCGTTACCTGTATTTGGGTCAAATCAGCCTTTCTATTTTTTATTCCCTATTATCTTCGAGAGAATATTTCTCCGGTTAGGATATTCAAAATTCGATCTTTGCATCTTTGTTGAGCCATTCAATTTGTGTCAACAGTGTCCAAATCGCTGCCGTAAACCTTGTTGTTGAAAACCCCGAACTTCGATATCGACCTCACGCATTGCCCGCAGAAGATGAGCATCACTCACATTCCCCCAGTGGATGCCGGTTAGACTAACTCTTTCTAGTCGGGCCTGCTTAGCGATCGTAAACACATACTGCTGGTTCCCCCCCCCCCATTCGTCAAATATCCAACAAAACTATTACTTCCGGTGGCCCCTGGATGTGATGAGATATTCCAGTATCATAATTGTTTCGAACATAAGTGGCATCAAGGTTCGTTCGGCACCGGCAAAGGTAGGAGGCGTCTTAATACTTTGCATTTAGACTTGCACGGAGATTGTTGAGGCTCGTTTTCACGCCAAGACGTCAAAAAAAAGAAAATGTGGCGTAAAACAAGAGCTCTGTTGGGTAGAGAGTAGCCTACAAGGTAGGACTTTCATAAACATTCCACCCTGGCGTGTCATTTATTTAAAGGGAACAGCTAGTTTAACCGAAAAAGGTTGCTTGGTGAAAAGTCATTACTACGGTACGAGTACAGAGCAGGGATCAGCCACAGTGCTTACAAGATGGGTACCAAAACCATATCTAAATCAGAGTTACTGAACTCAACAAATCTATAAACTAAAAAAAAACTAATATATCCTGATGATAGCTAACAGTTTCTGACTTTATATTTTTTTTCCCTTTTACCTTTTCACCACTCATTCATGGCCGGTTAGAACGTATACTTTTCCACTGTTCCACAATTACCCCCACAACGGAGGACTACCACCCCTGCTCTCGTACCATAAATTCATGATCTACCCCCGCACACTGGGGGCAGAAAGGTTCCCCGAATTTTTCTTATTAAGCCCACGTAACTAATTTATCTATTGACCCCAGGAGTGTTCACAAGGCATTCAGTATCATCCTTCACTATTCTGGAGAATTGGCGGCCGTAGGGCTAGCGCCACTAAAGCGAACCTGTCTCCCGCCCCCTCCAGCTTTCTCACGATCGAGACTAACCCGGAAAATACTTCAGGAATAGTAGGATTTCCTAGAGGAATGATCGCCCTCTCTGTCGACATTCCACGGCAGAACTGCCCGAGGACTAGGAACTGGAAAACTAGAATTTCTCGGAAGACGGCGAGAAAATGCGCGGACTATGCAGGAACTATAGTCCAGGTAGTGAAAAAAATTGACTTTCTGTCTTGGACAGCATAGAGTTCTGCTAGATTAAATTAGGATATCCCAGAGTGGCCTACAGTAAGATCTCAATAGATCTACTTTGTCGCTGATCTCAATCTCAGACCAAACAGGCGTGAAAATAATAGTTCTTTCCAGACGCGGTATCGTAACCTGCGCGAGCTAAACTTGATAGATCTCGTTAGCTAGTACAGTATTCGCAATTCTTTTAACCTACTCGGCTATGCTTGTAGTTGCTTTGTGTGTTAATTCCCATCGAGCGCACATCCCCCCGAAAGGCGCGCCAAGCCCCCGATCTCCGCTTCTGGTTGTAGATTTATCTAGAGCCTACGGTGCTTCGTCAAGGAAACAGCGCCTTGACCAAGGGGATCTCTGACCGATTAGAGCAGGAGGAGATCCTGTAGGGAGGGCATGAAGCTGCCAGCAGCAAAAGATTCAGAAAGTGATAATAGGAGTGGTACTATATGTGATTAGCGGTCAGCACTTCTGATAAGAACTTCAAAATCGTCAAGGTGAAAGTACTAACCCAAAATTTTTTAGTCCGACACTGAGTTTTGCACCGAGTTTAGCGAAAAATATAAATTTTAAAACCAATAATTCCCATCGCCGCCATCTGGAAAACACTTCAAATTTCTCCACCAGCTAGACAATCGGCATTTACTCAAACCTCTAGAAGTAAAACTGCAGCGGATCAAAGCTGTGTTCATTGTTTGCGATAGTGTTTTCTGTTGGACGGAAACCTTTCTTGACTGCTCAGGCGCATATTTCCCTTACGGCAAGGACTTCACAACCCTAACCCTCTTGACCTGTATCAACTACTCCGACGTCTCTATGTTTGACCGCTGGTTAGTCCTACACATCAAACAACACTTGCAAGAACAAATACCTGTGACAACCCCACCCGAAGGCTTTACTCCTATCATGTGGAAATACTGAATATCCTCGGTCAGAACTTGCCCTCGGTCGAATCTTCTCATCCTCGACTGAAGCGGAACATGGATGGCAGTGAAATTGAGCATGATGGAAAGCACGGCATATGCTGGAAGTATGTGGAAGTGGATCAGGATGATGCAGAGAAGGATAAAAGTTAGTTGTTTTCGTCCATTATCCATCTGTCTCTCTCTTTCCTCCATCACCTGTATTTGGGGTCAAACCAGTCTTTCCCATTTCTTTCCATTACCTATTTTCTTCGTGAGAATATTTCTCCGGTTAGGATATTCAAAATTCGATCTTTGCATCTTTGTCGAGCCATTCAATTTGTGTCAACAGTGGCCGTAAGCTTTGTTGTTGGAAATTTGCCCGTGTGAAAGTAACGTAGATTTTTTTGTGTGGGGCTCCTTACAAAAAAGCACGTAACCACCAATACCTCTAACTTGAATGATGTTTTCTCCACCACTTTATAATATTTATGAGTTGTCTAATATTCCCCAAATTATCTACGGGTTTGCCAATGCACTACAAAATTTTGGCATATTCTCCTTGACATTGTGCTGCGAGAGAGGGCGGTGAAGTTGGATACTTTTAGTGTGAAAAGGGCATCGGACGAAAACTTTTGAGCTGGTACTGTACTGTACTGTACATGCGCAATTGTACTACCATCATATATTACGAGATTTCTATCCCTCCAAATGGCCGCGGATTTCTGTAGAATCAGAAAAGTGCCTAAATTCCCGCCTGATATCCGGTTCTCCCTGGGAGTCCGCTCCACTCATAGTCGGTAAGTGCACTGGAAGCTCCGGGGGGGGTAAGTGGTAAGTACGGGTGTTACTAACCAGATTTATTTGACGTCATAGTGTGGAGGTAATAGATAGGTACATTATTTCAACCAAAGCCTCACAAAACAAGCATTCCCAGTAAGAGAATCTAAGAACATATATGAAGAATTGGAGTCTGATTCGTCAACCAAGGTCTCACCGTGAGTGCTGCTGCTCCCATCACTTTGAGGTGTAATATACTCTTCATCTACGGAGCGGTACGTATCTCCACCCTGTTCTTACGATCTTGTAGTAATTGGGGACCAGTCATCCTAACATCTGGTGTGGGAAGAGGTTGAGCGTATGTAGAACTCGCAATAGGTCCGGTGGATGTTTAACGAGTTTCTCGGCGACTCACTTCCCGCTTGCTTTACCGAGAATAAAACAAGCGAAAGAGGAGAGGAATTTGCTTCCCCAGAGGAAGATATGTCTGATATGTGGATATGCCAAGACGGGGAAGTCTGGCGGCTTCAAACGTGACTTTTCCAAATCCGGGGATCCTCCACCTGCTGGGAGAATGCGCTGTAGGTTGAAGAGTTTCGGAAGTTGTGGGAGATGGACGATAATTGTATCGACGGGGATAGGAATATGTCTGTGCTGGCCCAGATCGAAGTGAGATATAAGTATGCGGATGTGATTGCGAGACGTCGGCTGATGGGGTAGAGGCAGGTTAGGATGAGAGAGGAGGCCGAGAAGTGTTATGTATTAGGTTTAGGATAATGATTAAGTTGATAAGGATGATTGAAATAGCGATGCTGTGGTGGGATGGTCTCGGCAGGCGCTTGTGCAACCTGAGCGATGGAATGGTGTGGGGTAGGCCCGCGCACTTACTACTCTTTTGCCCGGTCGGCACTTCTATTATCCCCATTCATCAAGACCTTGTCGGAAAAATTATCTTTCGAATATCAAAGAACAAGACACAATCTCAGCACTCGTCGATCCCAAAAGCTCCCTCAGCCCGCGGAACTTCCTCCCGCACCAATGCTCAACACCCAGAGCTCCCGAATAGTTTATCCGGATAGGAGCGCAGCACAGCTACGAGAGCACCGTTAATGAGTCGTAGGATAGTGGGATGTTTACCTGATAACATAGCGACAGTGCTAGAGCTTGATAAACGAACTAACTACTAGAAGCGACAAGCATATATGGTATCTGCGACACTATCCGTTTTTCACCGGCAGTTTTCTAAGGAATTGAGGCGCTTCCATCCACATAACCGGAAGTCCTCAGAATATCGCAGCGGGTTGGTTGCGAAAAGAGACTAGACCCTATCATACGAAGGACAAACAAAATCCGACTGGGGTAGCGAGTGATACCTGATGTGGGGTGTATATAGTGTTGAAGGTGTGGGCGGCGGAGGACTGTTTTACTCTAAACTGCTTTCGATCCCCAGCATACACCCTACCATGCCTTGAGATGCTCTCGTTCGATTTATAATTGCTTCTTGGCAACCTCAAACCTCCCCGAATTTCATCGCGGGCCATGTGTGACGGTGGGGGTGGTTGTGGGGGACAAAATCACACATACCGTATCATAAAGACCCTAACAACTGGATCAAGTGCTATGCCGTTACAGTTACCCCCCCCCCCAATAGGATTTGATGTTTTTTTGTATTTTTGTCGCTCAAGGGCTTAGAAACTCCTTTTTCCCTATTTTCATCCCCTTTCCCGAGTAGGAAACCCCCGGTAACATACGAACCCTGGGTCTCGTGTCTGTTCAAAAAAGATTTTTGACCCCGCCGGGGGGGGCATAACTCCAGTCCACAGGTCCGGAGCTAACTCCACTCGACCACCGTTGACAAGGCTCGAAGCGATCATATTTGGTACACTCTGGCACTTTATGCAGTATTGACTTTTGTATATGAGTTGGCTCGGGGGCGGGCCCGATTGCGCCAGCGTGCCTAAAGGCGCATGAGAAACGCAGTAAACATATTTCCCAGCCAGGTTCCACCTGCCACTTTCAGTTTCACGATCCCTCACTTTGCTATTATGCCCTACATTCATTCGCGCCTGACCTACCTCTCCATAGATCTTGCTCCCCCATTAGATGCCGGTATAATAGTATCACTAAAATTGAAGTTGTTTTAGCATGGATTATCTCGTGAGCTGGATGATAAACTATTCCAAACCAGCAGCAAACGGAAGCTAAATCTATCTTGGGTGACACATAAATAACCGGGGTAGAATGCCCCAGTCTAAAGGAAGTTATCTGAGCAAGTGGCGGGGGGGCATGATTAAGAACCTCAAGGTCAACCGTATCGTATAAAACACAACCAAGGACTAAAAGAAAGGATAAGGAGAGAGAAGATAAGAGAATGGTTGGGAAATACTGGGAAATAGTACTATCTTGGGTCCAGGTCTACTCTGATAACCACGCAGTGAAATGGATTCTGATCTCCTAGAAGCGGATATATAGCCCCTCCTTTCACTGTTACATCCCGCGGGGTTTGGGAAAGTTATTGGTGGATAGTTGCCTGGTGCTCAGATATACGACCCAGTATATCAATTGCATTGGAGAAGGAATTTAGTAAAACCTTTAGGATTTTTGATTTAAAAAATCAGTATCAAATTTAAGAGCAGTCCCGCCAGTACATAGGTCAGTAGGCCGTTATTGAGCCCTATAGTGAAGGAATAGTTGGGAATGGGGAGGTTTCCAAGCCAGGAAACGTTGCTAAAGGGTTGGCAACGACAGGATAGATTGAGTGAGAACTTACATGAGAAGAGAAGCCACAAAACAGATGCTAAGCAATGCTTAGGGCCGGGAGGAAGGTATTTACTTTATGGGTGGGATAGCCGAAGGCCCTATTGGGCCACTGGAATATCCTAATCACAAAGTGGCCTACTTTGTGAAAGGGTCAGCCACTCGACCAACGGACATCCCCTCCATCAAATGGGTCACTTGACCACTGGGATAGAGTGCATTCTATTAGCTTGATAGAACTCCTTGAGAGGCCAGGTCATGGCCAATCCCATCAGCCAATCCCTTAGAAAGGTGGGCATTGATGTTTCCCTCCGGGAGTGGGAGGAGATGGACTCCTTCAACACCCAGTCGACGGCTGAGTCGAGGGGCGTGGGCCTCTTGTATTCCTGGGGGTTGGGGAATATCCCTTCGCTCGTATTCCGGGTTTCAAGGAATTTTGGTTTGAAAGCCAGAGGAATACTTTGCTTCAACAGATACGGCGGAAGTCTTCTAATGATGGCCCGGCCAATAAACATTTCTAACCCCGAGGATCAGCGGAGAATTTACGTGAATAACTAGCGCTATTATCTCTGTAAATAGAAGGCGGTGCCGAGTCTGTGGACCGTGGTTCGGCCAATCCCCTTCTGTATTCGGGACCTCACGTCCGAGCTGAATAGGGCGATAGTATCGCCACTTGAGGGAAAGATCGATTGGCTAGCTTCTCGGGGTCATAAATTCCATTGGACAGGTCACCGTTGAGCGACCGAAGCCACACCCGTGAGCCTAGTTTTTGAAGATTGGAGGACAAAATACTCACTACGGTAAAAGGCCGTGAAACTCGGGAACGAACGGAGGGACGATACAGTCTATTAGCCTAAGGAGTGTTCTCGTGTCAGACAGGGCTTGGATGTGAGGTGCAGAGTTGTCTTGACACCTTGTGATTATTAGACGGTTCTGACCAACCCCGTGGGGCCATTGGTGGTGTTTGTGTCTAGGTCGCATCGCTCTGTGGCATGACAAGTTTGCGGGGGGGATGATCCGATGTGATTGCTAGAGAGTGTCGGAAGGGGAGCACGAATATTTCTCCGTTTCATGTTGATTTTCCAAAAGGAAAAAACTTATTGCTCGATTGTCAGGGGTGATGCTTTTCGGACTCACCAGGAAGGCGGGGGATGTTTTCCCAGAAGCGATGGTTTTAGGATTGGGATTTCCGAAGTCATGCTTGTTCGTCAGAATGCATGAGAGAAATGCAACAACTTTGTCAACCAGCCCCTTTTCGGCCTTTATGCTCTAATAACCCAGCAGAAGTGATACAATATCCTTGCTTCAAAGTGCAGCATCACCCAGCCGTATCAATTGCCTGAGTTCTGTCTGCATCAGCTCTGGAGTACCGGTATTGGGGGGGGGTACTTGGTGATTCATAAAGTATTCAGATCCTTGGAGCCAATATTTCATGTTGAGGTGCTTGTTGGCGCCAAGGCATCCGAATGCTTTATGAATCGCCAAATAACTTACCCGAGTACCCGAGACAAAGGTACAGTACTTGTGCTACGGACATTAGTTGCCCAAAAACCGCAAGAACTCAATAGAGTCGAATCTTGGACCAGCAAGTAAGAGTCTCGCCGTTTCCCCAGAGGCTCGGTAAATTGTGAATTGCAAGCTACAATTATGTGTGTGTGGGAGCTATTACAGACCTCCAACTTCGATATCGACCCCAGGCCTTGTCAGCAGGAGATGAGCAACCCTCACATTTCCCCGGTGTGAGCGGGCTAACTCTCTCGTCGGGCCCACCTAGCGATAGTAAAAACCAATTGCTGTTCACCCCCCCCTTCATAAGTCTAATAACCACCAAACTATTTCCTCCCGCGGTCCCCGGATGTCATGAGAAATTCTAGTAATCGTTTCAAATAACGATGGAATCGTGGTTCGTTCGGGGCAGGCAAAGGCGGGAGGCATATTAATACTGTATGATACTTTGGGTATTGGAGAGCAAAGGGATTGGTAATGGTGCTTCTGCTGCCAGTAATACCACTCCATAACACCCTTGAATTCGCACGGAGTTTGTATGCAAGGTTTTATATTCTATCTTACCGGTAGTAAGTAACCGCTCCCTTAGAATCCCACCATGTCCCGTGGCGACCGGTAAACTGGGAGCGCTTGGAGAAAGTCGAGCCCGGACCAGGATGTTAGTGATGGCGTACCCGTGACGGCGATGGGGGGGTGGGGCAGTTGGCAGATAACGTTCGCTTCGATCATTGCTGTAATGCCACCCATTTTACGGTGTTCCCCGATTGGCGAGAAGGCTTTGTCGTGGAACCACCCAAGTACGAGTACTGCCAGAATAATTCGTTACACAGAACTCTGCTATGGGCCACGGACAGCGATCTCGCCGTCAGGAAAATACAGTATCTCGTCCCCCGCCCTAGGGTGAAGACTCTACGAGTATGATATCATACTATCATAGCACAATTCGCATAGCACACCAACTAAACCTCACCCGAAACCCACAAAATATCACTCGCGAGCTGCCATCATACATTCATATACTAATAGGAGCGAGAGGCAAGGATCAATGAAAATTGCTTAATTGGTAAATAAAAACTTTCCGAAGCAAGTTACCATAACTGAGCAAAGACTCCCGAATAAAAAGGATAAAAAACGAGAAAAATGGCAACTAGGCAGCACCCCTCACTGATCCCCAAAGAATATAAAAAGATAATCGCAAACAGGCCAAGGTTTAAGAAAGCACCACCAGAGGAGAAAAAACTCCGCTTCCCGAGAGCAAGCGAACAGGAAAAAACCACGCCAGAACATCAACTCACAAGATCAACGCTTCCTCGCCAACCTATGCGCTTCCTCATTCCCCTTCACTCCACTCTGCCCCTTAACCCACTCATCCCTAACCTGAACCTCCGGACCCGCACCCCCGAACCTCCCCTCACAAACCAACCTGTTCACGGCCTCCAACGCCTGAATACAGTCCGCACAAACTGTAACGACCCCCCTCCCGGTCCTCCTCGCGATCGATGATCCGATGGATACGCCCACCAGCAACGCTTCAGTTTCCGCGTCCACGCTCGTGAGTCCGGCCGGGAGCCTCTGGGATACCGAGACAGATTCGACTCCACAGCTGTAGATGCCTGCGGAGGAGATTCCGGTGAGGGGGCAGCGGCTCGCGTCCGTGTAGAGGAGGACTTCATTCGGCGCTTCCCGGCGGAGGTGCTGGATTGTTAGGGGGGGGGTGAGAGGTGCTTGCGGTGGGGGTGGAGCTAGGTTTGATGACCGGAGTGGGCGTGTTCTTGTCGGAGGTTTCAAGGGGGATTGGAGTAGTGGTATGAGTGCCGCTGCTGGCACTTTTGGAAAAGAGGGTCGATGATTCATTACGAACCCCCGCGCCCAGAGTACCCTTGGGATAAGGACCGGTTTGAGAAATCTGGAGCACATGATTTTGCCTTTAACTTTATTTTCCTGTCGGTGGCTTTGCAACTAGCTCAGGTTCGTTAGTTAGTTTGATCGGTTGGATCCTGGAAGGGAGGAAGGGTAGCTCGCGATCGGTTATACCAAATCCATGTCGCCTTTCCGGTTGTAGGGAAGTCTAGACTCTTCCATCTATCTATCGTATCTCTCATTGTAAAGCACGCTTCCATATTGCCGGACTACATGCACTAAATACGCGGGGAGGATCCAATACAATGCAGGGCGACTACAGCATAAAAAAAAGTACACGTTCTGCAAGCAATCCGCCCGCCCGGAAAAGCCATGACTCAAGCCACAAAAACCATTACGGCCAATCAGTAATAAGAACCCAGCAGCAGGGACTTCCCACAACGAGACAAAGACCAAGGCCCCGGAAAAACAAGTATCTTCAGGCTATCAAACCTCCACAGATCTCCGAAGAAACTAACCTCAATATAAAGCCGATGCGGGAGAAACGCACGAGCCGTCAGTGATGTTTTATGATTTCCGGGAGCACATGGTCGGAGTGAGTTAGAAAACCCCCTCCTTGACGACCTCATCTCTTGCTCTCAGGGCCCCCAACAGCCCGGCTGGGAGCTGCACGAGCCCGCCCAGGGTGGCTCGCCGCAGGGCTACTCTCCCTGTGCCGGAATGCGAGCTCTTCGGTGTCAGGGAGCGGCGTTCAGGAGGGAGCACTACAGCCGGTTACGGCAAGCGGCGGCCAGGGAAGACAACGGATGGCGGGGGGCGACATGTACAGGCAGGCACTTATCCGGAAAACCCCAAAGTTCAGATCGCGAATAAGCTTTCTGCTTCGGGATAAATCTTCGGATATTATCTGCCACCTCAAACGACAAAGACTTTGTGTATGCCCCGCTATCCAAAAATTCCACAGAGCAACTGCATAGTAACCATACCCCTCTCACTCTGTAATATTGAAAAGCACCTATTTAGAGAAAGCAGGATATATTTGGAGCCCAAATCAATGGGTTACAACCAGTACGCAAATTCCGAGTGATATTTTGCGACAGGGGGTCGAGAGTGGTTTCCCTTGAATGTAAGTTAGCAGCAATGTTGAAAGGACGGAACGCAAGCATCTAGCTCTATCCCACCACCTACATATAGAAATTACTTGTAACACCTCTGTGTATTACGGCCAACTTATGATACTATACAGAAAGTGTGCCACAGGTCCATGTGAATGATGGGCTCAGGATACATTGAAAGGGAACCAAAAACATTCTGATAGGTTCGAAGCATTGAGAAGTAGTGCGGATGCTGGGTAATTTTCTAAAACTCGGTATATTCCAGAAAGAAAGAGAAAAAAATGTAGATAAATTACCCGCACATTGATAGATATTATTTTCTCCTACCACTTTCCGTCATTACGATACCTCAAACCACTAACACTTTTCCCTATCGCCTTTTCCCCTTCACGCAGCTTCCCCCAGAACTCTCCTCCAGATGATTCCGCATTGCAAACTATTTATTCTTTCTTTTCCTCTTATTGATTCCGATTACCACGTCGGACTCAACCATCTTCAGGCGAGAACATAAGCGCACACCCAAGTCCCTTCTTCTCCAAGTGCTCCATAAGCAATACCAGCGAAATAGCAAACCACGCTAGTATAGCCACGTAGACTGTTAACACATACGCTTGTCGTTCCATCCAATCCATGTCAGTCTATACACCCGCACCGACGAAAACACCCAGAAATATGAACAATCACGTTTGATCACTCGGAAACCTGCAGATATCTGCATATTATCATACCTGCTATGTACCGTATGATGGGCTATGATAGCTTCCGAAAATTCCCCAGGCCGGAACTGGCGGCTTGCCAACAACTGCTCGGAACCTCCCCTCGCCTCTCAGTCTGTCATCACCACCTCCACACTAACACCCCCCATATAGGGCAGACACCAGGACCGTGACTGGTGAGCCAGGCTAAATACTAGCGGGGGCATCCCCGAGAGTGTTCCTTTTCAAAAAAAAAAACTGCCCTTTACGAATAGATATTACCCCTCTATTGGGTAAGCCGTAGCTCTGCGGTAAGCGGTTGATCTCATCTGAAGTAGCTCTGCTCTGCCAAAAGTCTTGGAAATATTACCGAAATGCTGAGTTCCCGAGAGGAAATAGCTATAGCTATCAGTAGAAGTGGAAACATCTAGTGCAAAAGCGGACAGAAGCCACAAGCCAAATGGGATTTTCCCAAGTCTCCCCTCAACCGGTCATCCCAACTCCAACGTTTATGGAATCGACTTCGGACCGAGTATCATACTTTGGCCACGCCTCCTCCGAAGGTTCGCAGGAAGCGATGGAAAAATGGCAGCCGGGCGGATTATGACAGGATAGATATTCCGGTATGGTACCGTCGATAGTGGGAAGAATCATTTTAGTCACGTGGTATTATGAAGGATGGCTGGGAGGACCAGTTGGCTTGGTTTGTAGGATCGTAGAGGTGCGTCCCCCGCATTTTTCCTACTTTCATGAAATCCACGAGATTTATAGGCAAATCCTGAAAAACTTTGGCTCCTCCAATTCATCACCCATCTTTTGATATATGCACCCGTGCGCCACCTTCTATGATGCATGACTTGAGCTCAACGGGATTTGGCGTCACCTAACCCCCCAACAAGTACTCGTACAGTAACCGTTAAAACAGACGATCGCGCCAAAGAAAGAAAGAAAAGAAAGCGGGATTTTGTATCATATTATTATGATACCCGAAATTTGAAAAAGACCAAACCGGCAACCAAAAACCGGGGTAACGAAAGCTCGGGAGTTTCGCTACAATAATAAATCTGTAAAAACTTGAACGTGCCGACAACGAAAGAAAAAAGAGAATGAATGTTCCTCAGGTAGTTGGCGGTTAGAAAGAATATGTTCGTATGATATCCAAATGAGCCGACGTTTAAAAACTGCGAACACCACGCGCCTGCGAAAAATAGAAACAATAATATAAAAGGCTGATCTGGGGTAAAGACGGATACCACCGACCGACTGATTCTACCATGGCCAGCCATACTACCAATCCATGCTATCCCCGCCTCTCTAAAGTACATCCCAACCCCCAGGAATACATCAACCTCCCTCCCTCCCGACACCCTGGGTCCCACCTCCGAAGGCCCATTCCCCAACTCCCCTCACCGCGCCCCAGACCCCTCTCTTCCCGGCGGGGCTGCTCGTTCCCAATGCTCGTATCATAGGTGATCTAGCGAGGCTTGAATCTGGTCTCCCAGGAACATGTTTCTACAAACTAATATGGTTAGCGGTCTTTTTTTCTCGTTTTTCTCCAGAGCAACTAATCAAATCTTGTCTTCCCAACACCGCCGAACGGGCAAGGAACTTTGAGGACAAGGAGACGATAACTAGGGTATCGTAGGTTGAGATTTTCTTTAAGCTGGGTTTTGCTTCAGGCTTCCATTGTGCTAAAGGTTCGTTGAGGCTTTCACAATTAGTCTATGCGCCATCGAATCAAGTGCAGTTTGTGGGATTGCGATCAAAGAAGTGAGATTTTATCGTTGCGTGCATTGATTGCTCTTCTCGTTTCCGTTGTGAATAGGATGGAGACTTATCAGCCCACGATCCATTGTTTCTTAGTGTGATGCCTCTCAACTCTTGAGACCCATCCCACTATTACTGTATGATCATGCTCAAGTTAATCATGCTTCAACCAAAAACCCCCTTAATTTCACGAGTGAGATCTCATGATCATGCTAAAGCGGTTACAATTCGCTTAAAGGGGAGAGAATAAATTAACTACAGTTCAAACGCCCGAGGGACCCCAAAACATATACCCATACCCATTCCCAGACAAAGTGAACAAAGAAAAAGAAGAGAAAAAAGGCATACAATAGAGAAATAGAAAGGAAAACATCTCAAGTCAATTAGACAAAATCCCCGAAAGCATCATCGTCGAACCCAAGTTTTCCGAAATCCTCGGCACCGTGATGACTCTGTCTACGCTTGACGTCTTCCGCGCTGGGTGGTGGTGGGAGGAAAGGTAGAGGGAAGCCTGCAGTAGCAGCAGCGTTACGAGACGGGGAGGAAGGGGCTCTGCGGCGACCCTTATTCTGTTCGGTTGATCAGCATGGGAGATACGAGAGAGGGGGTGAAAGGGAAGACACACTCCGATGGTTATGTTGATAGTCTCTCCTTCTTTTAAGGAATAGTCCTTTGCCTCAACACTGGACAATTCCGACGACGCCCCAGCCTTCTTTGCCTTCTCGTTGGCGGTGATACTATCGTTGTGCCTGCGGACCTCCTGCAAAGAAACACCAAAGTCGAAAGCCTCACTGCGTTCTTCAAATCCAATGCCAAGCATAGCTTTACGCGGCCCGTCGACAACTCTCAAAGCGAAAAATCTCGAGCTGTCGATAACTTGTTCTACACAGTGGGCCCCCTGTGGAAGAATAGGGAAGTGATTAGCCCAGTGCAGTTGACAGAAATGAGGCATTCGGGTAGGTAAGGGAACAAACTTCGTAGGGACAATTGGCAAACAGATCCCCAGTCTTGGGATCCTCAAGTCTAACATCCGTGCACACTTTTTCCTCTTTCCCATCTGCATCCTCGGTAGCTGTCTCCACAATCCTAATCCGAGCGGTGAATATCCTCGACTTTTCTTGGTCAACCTTCCAGTCCACGGCCTTGTACCCGCTGTTGCTGGATAAGGGCGGAACAGCGTAGATGTGAACCTTAGGCGCAATGAATAAGATTCGTTGGATGGACTCCATTGATTTCGTTGGGTCGGATTGGATTATTATGAGGCCGGGGGGATTGAGGGGCAGGGCGTTGAGTGTGTGGGGGAATGGATGGTTTGATGTTCTGAAAGGATGCGCTGGCAGGCTGTCGTATGCAAGGGTGGTCTTGGCGCGGGAACTACCACATTGGGTTAGTGCCGAGCTTTGAGCCTCTGACCTCGTGTTCTGGAAATGGAGAGGTCGTTTGGTGGTTGCACGGGGAGGATCTGGAATGTGGAGACGGTGAAGGGGTGAGATCTCGGATGGGATAGATTGTTCGGCTGAGCTGGATAGATTCCAAGTGATTTTTGGGATCCCACCCGGTAGGCCTTGGAATTGGTTGATTCACCGAATCCGCATGCTTAACTCTTCATTCTGCTGAAGAGTTTACCAGTAGCGGGTTAGTCTAAGTGACTGGAAGGAGACCAAAATGACAATAGAGCACCCCTAACTTATTATAACTGCACTTACCGGGACAGTAACCACAATTGTGCTAAGTCTGCCAAGCTTTTGATCACAACAGCGGATTCGCCTTGTTCTCTCGGATAAAATTGGCTCCAGCGCTAAAATACGAGTACTTGTCGGGGTCCGCCGTAAACTGTTTGCCATGTTTATTACCGTAGACGAGCGCCGGAAACACCAATTGAAGATTCGGTAGGGGCAGAATTTCCGCAACAGAATAATAGATACGATAGAGGCACGCATTTTCTCGCTCACGTCATCGACCGGTTCCCCAGGAGGCTGTGGTCGTGGTTTGCCGTCTCTATGCAGAATATTTTTTTACTTTTTCGGTAACCGAACCCCAACTCAATTACCGCAAAGGCTCCTGAAATTTGTTATCAGATTATCAGCGGGAAGTCAACCCGTCAGCCCACGATAGGTTTAGTCCGACAGGTTAAAAGAATTTCGAATACCAGTTACCGAGATTCGACACGTCCGGTACCGTATGAACTCGAGTGAACGGCCCTTGTGCTATGTACCCTATGACAGTCCGAAGGGCAAGGAACACACCAAACACCCGCTCTCCGAGACAAATAAAAAAGCAAAAAAAAAAACGCCAGACCATACTAGGAGAGGCAAGTCCAACGTCCTAGCACAAGGCCCGTTTATGATTCGAGTTCTTACGGTAGGCCGATCATAACCGTATCCGGGAAACGCTAATCCTTCTCAGGAGCCTTTAGCACCGAATCCGGGGATTACAGTGCCTGCCGGAGATAGCGAGTTTCCCGGTGCAATACAGCAGAATCTCATCATTGACAGCGGTGCCAGTCACGACATCCATTCCCGGCCCTCTCGGGTATGGAGGATAGTGATGAGACGGACTAGGTGTGGGTGGCCTAAGACATGTGTGCACTCGGCGGGAATCTGTGGATATGTCTTCGGCCACCCATACCCCTACATGGCCTTCACCACACCCCGACTATCGTTCGGAACGGGAAAAAGAGGGAAAAAAACCCCGATCCCTCAATCCAATGCCAACGCAAACACCCAGAATCCCGTTACAGAGGAAAACATGTGAAACAGGTTTTTTTTTTTTTGCCAAGTTTGGAGTTTATTTGTTTCCTTGCCGAGGGGTTCCCCTCCCTCTCTACTCGTACAGTAAGGGTATTCAATGTTAGAGCGATGATCCTTTAGTAACAAGTTAAGACCGGAAGGTGCATTAGCTTACAGAAGGTGATGGTCCAATAATATCATAGGAAATATAGTATCATAATTGAAGGCCCGAAAATTTACTGTAAGGAGGTAGGGGAAGGAAAAGAATAGAAAAGGTTTAGCGTACAATTTGGAGAAAAATTTTCACACACTAAGATCTCAATCTCAAAGCAACCAAGCAGACGCAACAACAACAAGGACGATTCTTGCCAAAATGCCACGCGATTATTCCGACAATACCATTTGGACCAAAGATGAGACCGAGATTTTGATGCAATGGTTGGAGGATCCGGAAAACTTGCGAAAGATTAAAAAGGGTTCCGGAATTACAAAGAAAGCAATTGTCAGTGAGATTGCCACTCATATTCCTACGAAAGAAGCAGTTAAAGTCGGATATAAGTATGACAACCTCATGAAAGCCTATCGAGCGGCAGCCAAATTAAATAACCAGAGTGGATGGGGACTATCTAAAAGAGACTTAGATGAGGGTAGAAAGAGTTTACGAGGTAGTATAATATTCTATTTTTATATTTAAAATACATGATATTGTTATACTAAAGATAACAGGTAAACTACTTTCACGATGCCCCTATTTCTTTCGGTAAGAGAACATATTGGGTGACCGACCCAACGTGCGACCGCTAGTCACCTATGATTCGGGTATTAGTACTACGGATACAGCATCAACAATTGAGCAACTAGTTGCGGCAATGAACAATAACAATCCAGAAGGTGGGGAGGACGCTGGACTATCAACAATAGATCCAAGTGAGTTTGGAGAAGAAGGACTTGGAGGAGCAGGAGAGAATGTGAGTGGGGAGGGTATGAGTAGGGAAAGGGAAGGAGGAGTAGATGAGAGAAGGGAGGTAGAGGAGGGACAGGCACTGGTACTTGAGGAGGGCCCTTTCAGATTGGAAGTGGGTGGGCGTTATCACAACGATCCGCTTAGAGAAAGTCAAGGGAGTGAGCAACCGAACACAGGGATTGAGGAAGAGGTGATTCTTGTTAGCGAGCGATCAGAAGGACAAGGAGTACAAAGAGTAGACTCACCAACTCCAGCACGGAGTTCAGCAATTCGCGGAACAAAACAGCGTTGATTTCCTGAAATGATGATTGGAGATGGTGACGAGGATGGGACATCGAAGGGTGGACAATGAAAGAAAAAGAAGGATGGATCGAATGCACTTGTGGAAGCGGTTGGAATACTTGCATCAGCAAAGGCTGAAGGCGAGGAAAAAAAGTTTGAATTTTTAAACTGACACCTCGTTCAACAAGGAGAGCTGCGACAAAGAGAGATAGAGTTGGAAAGAGAGAAGCTTGAACTGGAATGGGAATGAGCTAAAGCAGAACAGTGCCGAACTGACCTGTTGATTCTACAACTCCAATCAACAATGGGTATAAGGACTGCCAGAAATAGGGAGAATCAGGAGGCATTGGAAAGGGAGAGAATGACTTATGAATAGGGTTTCTGGTTTTTTGTAACAGCTCCACTTCAAATTGTTATTTGTATATTTTTCTTGGATTATTGAATTTTTTAAAACATTTAAATGTTGTACCTTCCCATAAACTACATACTATTTACAAAGTATTCACACATTCTGTTTCTCCAATTTGTGCCAGCCTGACATTCTCCTTCAACACCTAATATCTCATCTGCCCCCCAGTCCCCATTATTATCCACCTCATAATCTTCCCTTTCCTCTGGAATAGGCCACCATTGCTCATCAGTTTCCATATCAAAAAGGAAATTATGTAATACTATAGAAGCCATTATCCATTCTATCACCCTTACATGATCATTAGAATTTGATATTCTAATAGGTATCTCCCGTAAAGAAGTCCACATATTCTTTAAAATACCAAAAGCATGCTCAATTTTAACTCGTGCCTCCGCTACCCGTAGGTTGAAATCCTTAGAGCCACCTGCTACTTGACTTGCAAGTGGCTCTTTAAAAGGAGTCATGCATCAACGGGTAACTCAATATGCCTTATCTGCTAATACATACTCATCTGGTCGTGAGAAAAACAAATTTGGTCTCTTAAAAAATGAAGTTTCACAAAAAACAGTAGCATCACCAACAGAAGCAGGAAATCCACTTGAAACAAAAGTAAATTTACGCTTACCATTACAAATACCTTGTATATTAAGTGCGTACTGTTTTTTTCGGTTGAAATAAGTTTCCCCGTGATATGATGGCCCATATCGTAGTACCATATCAGTACCATCAAGGAAGCCCACACATCCTGGAAATCCACTCTATTGTTCAATCTCTATTCTCATATTTCTGAAATCATGGCATTCAGGCTTCGGCCACTTCACAATTCGCGGGAGTAGTCGAACCAATGCAGAAATGCTTCAAGCGCAGTACAACCTAGTTGTACCTTCACCAATTCCCAATTGAGCTGCACCACGAACAGTCGATATTCCATTGAATCCTAGGAAGTACAAGGTGGTCGCTAACTGAATCGAAGCTGGGGCTTGTGGATTTGGAGAGTTATTATTGAAAATCGGGTCGTTGTGGATGAGCATCACTAGTTGGGTGAAGGAATTGCGTTTCATCCAAAAAAATGCCATAAATCTATCTTCTGACATTGTAAAGATCTAATGTAAATTAATTTAATTTTCTCTAGTTAAAATCTATTTCAAATTTGATTGGTTACATACATGATGGTTGAACATGAACTCATTCCAAGGTATAGGATCTCGTGGCATGAGATACCTAATTACCGGCACTCCCATCCCGAGCAGCTCAATAACCTCCATTATATCCTCCACTAAACTATCCTCGCTATCTCCAAGTACTTTTTCCAACATATCTTGACTGTTGAAATTTGTTGTAATGGGATTATCTAAGAGAGAAGAGAAAAGTTGAAGGTCTTTTGTAGATTCTTGCCTGGTTTGTTGTCGGTTATAGGGTAGGGGTTTGAAGCACTTAAAAAATAGTGACAGATCATCACTTGTATTGAATATCGTCTGAACAATGGTATTTGATAACCATATATCATGAAGTTGTTGGGTGATTTGTGCTTTTTCAGAAGTGCGCGGCATTTTTTTTTGAGGGAGTTGTTGTTTAAGTTCACTTTAAGTTGCTTTTCTTCACATTTTCTCTTTTTTTTTAAACTCTGCTCACATAAGCTGTGAGTATTGAGTTGCGACTAGATACCTATGTTACCTGTTACCGACCTCTTGACGTCTGTATCTACTTGGAAAAAAAGTATGGTATGGTAAAGTAAAGTAGTGGTAAGTTAACTGTTTATGGATGTGCCAAGCTTACATGAAACCGGAGAGTAGGCTAATTTTTTTTCCCTTTTTCAACTTTGGATACCCTTAGTATGATTAGAGTTGGAACAAGGCATCATATAGACTAGCAAGCGAGGTGCCCGAACCCCCGGTCACGTGATCAACATCCAGCATTGGGACGCAGCACCGGTACCGGTACCAATACGAGTACTTCAAGTTATAGAAACTACGATAGCCTGACCATAGTAGAAGATGGCGGAAGACGGTTAATCTAGTTTTTACGGAAGAACTAAACGCGGAAAGATGACTCCCAGGCATTCCAAAGTTGAAGGTCAAACTAGTCGGTTTCCACTATAATGAATTTATCTACTGTGACATAAATTTTCACGAATTTTGCTGGATACAGTACAGTACACATTGAATCTTATGCCAACCCTCTACACCTGCTTTACCACATTTCGGCCGTAGTATGATTGCTTGTAGACTTAATATTTGACACTCCTTTACTGTGATGGATTCTCTCCCGGCAAGACAAGGTAAACGAGCCCAATGTGGAAGTCCAGTCAACATTCGACGAGCTCGGGGCGGGGTTGAATTGGCTCCGCATTGGTCAAAATATGTAAAACGTAAAATCGCCCGGAGGATTTCTGCCTTGAAACAGCAAAGTACCGGTAAGGTAAGAAGGAACCAGCTTGCAAAGGTTCCGGCCGGAGGTCTGTGTGTAACGAACTAGTTAGTCCCCGCTAGACACCTCACCAATGATACCCGATATCGAAAAAAAACTATTATAGCATTATATCATACTAAGCTCTTAGCCCAACCATTATCTCACGGAAATACACCAGGTTGTTTAAAAGGTTACCGGAGCTTTCGCGGAATCGGTCCCAAACATTTTTCTCCTCTTGAGGAGCTCCGTCCCCACCCACCCCTGGCTGTTGGAGAGTTTAGGCAGTCTCCTGCATCGTAGAATTTCACAGTTATAGAGCAAACCATGGCTAATATGCCGTACTTGACTCCTCACATTGGGGTACTTTTCTCAGAGGCTTTCACAGCCCTCCACTATTAGCACAGCTACTCAAAGGAGGGATTTTGGGGGGGGGAGTGATCGCGGCAACCCCGCCTCACTCAAGCACAGTACCGATACTTCATCTTTAAATCCCAGCCCTATAGAAACAAAATATTCTAAGACCTCAGCCTCCCACCCACGGTTTTCTAAACCCCGCCCAAGAGCCAACAATACGCACCCAAAGCAAGCGTCCGCAGCGCACGAAAACTACAAAGCACAAACCGTCCGGTCGGAGAGTTAATCAATGAGCTTGGCAAGCGAACACCAGTGAGGGCCCTTGGCCCCAGAGTAAAAGTAGATATGTCGCTAGCCTAACCAAAGTGAATCTACCACACCGCCGAACCAGAGACTCAATAATGAATTTTGGAGCAAGCAGGGAAGTTTGCTGCTTCACCGTGCCGAGGCCTTGCTGAAGTTATGCAACATACCGTACAGTACAAGGAGTTGCAAAGTTTGCTGTAGACTTGAGCTAAGTGTCGGATATCCCGTTTAAGTTATCGGAATTCCAACGGCGGGTAGACACCCCCCCCCTCTGTGGTTTCCGACACCCGTAGCTGCGACAGCATACCAAATATCAAATCTATGATATACAAGTATCGTACTCTGGCAATGATCATTGTGTCTCACTTGTTTTTGCCCTTGGCATGCCTGCTTTTCAACAGTACGAAAAAACAAAATATGATAGGCCTTAGCAAGCTGGGTCTAAACTCTAGAGACTTCTATCGCCATCCCCCCAGTGTTGCCCGTTGGCTATTTGTATTTGTTTGCTCCATCAAGCTCGCATAAACCCTACCCGAACCCCATCCTACGTATTCTCCATTATACAGTAATTGACCAACACCCGCATCCGAAATAATCAAGCATAAGAAAACAAAATTAACTCCCATTCTTGGATACAAGTAGAAATCCCTTATAAGCCGAAAGAAGGAAAGCTGATCGAAATATGCTATTAGGTGATATAATCCGCCCGTTTCCTTTCCTTGCCCTGCTATCTGTTTAAGGTATGTACGCTTCTTGAGATTATAAATGTTGCTACTGTGCTTCCTGGACCGTTTTCTATCAATCTATTAGCTAAAATATATAGCATGGGGAGGTTTAGGGGGGCTGTTACCACTAGCCAATCCATGCCGTCGTTGACGCCTAAAATTACACGTATTAGCAATCCGCCCTGGCCTTAACAAGGTCCTTGTGATAAGCTCACCATCACCCGTGACAGCACTACACCCGAAGATACTCCAACTCCTCTCCTTCAAGCTGGGCAACTTTAGCGCTTCGCTGATATCCGCGGCACCTAAAACGCCCGGTTGATCCTGCTTATTCGCAAACACCAACAATGCTGCTTCCCGTAGCTCATCCTCGTTCAGCATGGCCTGTAGTTCCTCCGCTGCCGTCTCCAAGCGAGCGTGATCGGTTGCATCAACCACAAAGACAACAGCCGCGGTGTTAGCGTAGTAGCAGCGCCAGTATGGCCGAATGGAGGTTTGACCACCTGTATCCTACTCGTAAGCAGATGGGCTGGGGAGGCATCAGTTAGGGGAAGCTGCATACCGAGATCCTATTGCCTGATGTTAGAAAGCTGGATGCGGATAAGACTTCGGGACATACCCAAACGTTAAAATTCAGGTTCTTATATGTGACACTCTCGACGTTGAAACCGATTGTTGGGACGGTCGTCACAACCTCACCGATCTGTAGCCACCATATTAAGCCTTCTCTCTCCCCCAGATATTGTGGAACCGAGCAATCATACCTTCAGCCGGTACAATAATGTCGTCTTTCCCGCGTTGTCCTACCTACTATTAGCGGTGATGGCGAGCAGGCGATAGGGAGCGGAGCTTCTCACCAAGCCAAGAATCAATATTCGCACCTCCTTCTTCGACCACAGCCTAGAAAACATACTCTGAAATGCTCCCATGTTGTATCTAGATAGTCTTTATGCGAGGTGAATAGAGAGCGAAAGGAGCGAGAGGAATAATCAAGTGGGGAATACTGGTGGTGAATGGACTTTGTCGTTGTGGCGAAAGGAAAAAAGGAAAAAATATCAGAAGGTGTAATTACCATTTAATGGATGACTAACCTAAAGCAGGGTTGGTTGGCGCCAAGATTGCTGTCATAAGCTTTCTTTTCGTTTTTGTGTGAGCTTTGGTGATACGGGTGATCGCGCTTTTCTCGCATTCTTCTAAACAGCCACGGGGTTCACCACCCAACCCTTTCACAACAATTCTACGTTTTACGGAAACTTCTCTTGAGCCCATTTCATAATGGCGCCCCCAAAGAAGTCTGGCAGGGCACTCCTTAGGGAGGAGGGTGAGTTGGAGCTGGAGAGGCTCCCGGTCTATTTTGGTTAAGGCTGACGATTGTGCACCAAATAGGTCTCGAACGGACGGATAATAATCTCAGAACGCACTCATGGCCGGTCATTCCTATGATCAATCAAAAGAATTATTACACGTTCGTGCTTCATCTCTATCCATTCCGCAACTTCTTGGCTAAAATAATTATGAAGCGAATACCTCAAGCGCGAAGAGCAGATCATGGTGTTTCGCCAACAGCAGGAAGACCTCCTTAGGGCCCAAGCAGCGCTGCTCGAGAAAGAAAAACAAGTGTCTATGGTGGCGGATCCGATGGCGATGGACATCGATAGAGGCGCAGAGGAAGGAGAGGAAACCGCAGAACAAGAAGAGGCGCTAGGTAGTAAGGTTATTGTCATCCATACGGGATCTCAGAACATGAGAATTGGCTTAGCTAGCGATGCTTTGCCGAGGTCTTTTCCAAATTGCATAGCAAGGAAAGCGGATAAAGCAGAATATGAGGAGGAAGAGAGGTGCCCGAAGAGGATGAAAGTTGCTGAAGAGAATGAGGATTCTGACGATGAGGGACCGCAGTTCGGCGAAGAAGTTTGTTTTCATCGCCCATTCCTTACCCTTGGAGAACTTTGAGGTTAACACCTACCACAGTTTGACTCTCAGTTCAATGCAATGTCGAATGAACTGAAGGTCAGGATGCGTCATAACAAGCGCCGTATCCTCCCCAATTCTCGTGACCTTGTACTCTCCTACAATCGCCGTACACCCCCGGAGACCATCAAGGAGCATAACGACCCCTACAGGGTGGAATGGACGGACACTGGGAGGAATAAAGCGCCAGATCACTTTGTTGGGAACGAAGCGCTTAGGGTTCCCGATAATTCTGACCCTCGATATCGCCTTTTTTGGCCCATTCAATACGGGACTTTCAACGAGAGAGATTACCACTCCAAGAGAAGAGTTTTGGAGGATATATCCGTAATTCTTGAAGAGGGTATCAAGAGGGAACTAAATATTGAGAAGAAAGATCTCAAGTTATATTCCGCAGTCTTGGTTGTTCCGGATCTCTACGACAAAAATTACGTTACTGAGATGCTCAATCTCCTGTTAAAGGAGTTCTGGTTCGCCCAGGTTTGCATTATTCAGGTACACCCGCGGAGCTCAGATGGGTTAGGGTTTTGTCACTGATTTGTCATCATGTAGGAATCATTGGCAGCGACTTTTGGAGCAGGTTTCTCGCAGGCGTGTATTGTGGATATCGGAGCTCAGAAAACTTCTGTTTGCTGTGTCGAGGAGGGGATGTGTCTTGCGGAGTCACGGTAATTAGGTGGTAATCGTTTTATTTTGAATACGGAACTGATAATTCTAGTCTAAATCTTAAATATGGAGGCCGGGATGTCACGATAGCGCTAATGAAAATGATGCTGTCGTATTCATTCCCGTACCGTGACATCAACCTACGACGCCGCTACGATTTCCTATTAGCCGAAGAGCTCAAGGCGAAATATGCGACACTCAACGACTCTGATATTAGTGTCCAGGCACACGATTTCCATCTAAGGGCTCCGGAGCAGGATACTAAGAAGTACCACTTCAAAACCTATGATGAAGTCATGCTGGCACCTTTGGTAAGTGATCCACTACCACAGATCCCTCCCCCAAAGCTGACGGTCCGATAGACACACTTCAAACCCACCATCCTCTCACACGAAGAAAAGCTCACCGGCCGCCGAAGCCTTTGGGAGCGCTCCTACGACCTCTACGATGGCCAGCCCAATGACCCCCTCTCTACAGCCCAACATTCCCTCTACCAATCCCTAATGCCACGGCCCTCATCCACCGGTAACGACTCAACAGTGAATATGGGCGCCATCACCCCTGCCCGTCCCACACTTGCTGGTTTCGGCGGTTTCGGTGCACACTTAACAGCAGCCGATACAACCCCTCGGTCCTCTATAGCCGGTTCCCCAGCCCCTGAAGGCACTCCCGCACCCCCGGGGACAACAACGCCACTCGTTCCTGGTCCCGGCGGTATTCCACACCCAGGCTCGGTCGGCGCCCCCCAACCTACCGGCCCAACACCCATGGAACAAGCCGAGGACCGCGATCGGGTAGTCCCCATCATGCCCCTTGACGCAGCAATAGTGGAGAGCATAACCCACGCTGCCAAAGGTGAGGAGAAGAAGATTAAAGACTTCCTAGCCAGCATCATGGTCGTTGGTGGGGGCTCGCTGGTCTCGGGATTCAATCACCAACTCGAAGAGCGCATTCGTGCGCTCAAGCCGAGTAAGGACTATCAGATCATTATTGGCGTCCCACCTAGGGAATTGGATCCCATGGTCATCGTCTGGAAGGGTGCGAGCGTGTTTGGGAAGTTGAAGATTAGCAACGATTCGTGGATTAGGCAGAATGAGTATGATATACTCGGGAGTAGGTTATTGACGTATAAGTGTTTGTGGACCTTTTGATTGAATCGGTTTGGCGAACGGACAGATGGGGGTCGGGGGAGGATTGGGTTCCAGGTGTCTGGCGCTGAGGCCACACGGGGGGACTATCCGGTCCACCAGCCACAGTGTGGCTTGCACCCATGTAAAAAAATAATCGAAGTGGGCCATACTCCTCCCCTATCACCAGGCACCATGACATAGATACTTTCTGTTGATATTTTCCCTTTTCTCTCGGTGAATCCGTTAATTAACTGGTCAGATGACCATTCGATTTTTCTCCAACCGGGATGGGTACGAGCACATGGTTGATTGCCAGAATTTTTGTGAATCGCATGAAGTTTTAGTGTCATTGGGAAAGGAGACGGAGGATTCAGTCGTAGTAGCCAGGCGACAGCACGCCACCCTTAGTACTACTATGATCTAGCATCTATGGCATCATGGGTGTACGGCACCTGAGACTTTAATGCTACTAACCTTATTCCATACTTTTAAATCCTACAATTCAAGCACATTTGTGGTGTTGTGGTCCGGGGGTCGCTCTCGAGGACGGCTGCGAGGGTACTAGTATACCCATGCCCCGGCCAGACGTTTTAATTCTAAAACTATCTAAGCAGAGCGTGATCAAAGAAGAAAAGAGGGCAAAATGAGACAGGTTGATTCGAGACCGTGCCAATTTCGTGAAAAGAAAAAAAATCATACCCCCTTCACCACCTCAGCGAAATCTCGGTGGGAGATATCCGAACTCACTACTTGACAGAAACACCCCACTCCAATGTGACCGTGGGTTCCGGGGTGCGGGGATGTCCGAACTAGTCCTCTCTCCAATACGACCCTCGGGTTAATTCCAACCCTTTCTGTTGGGGGTGGGTATGGGGTCGTAAGGCGCCGTGATGGAAGGGAAAAGGTTCCGTCATATCATACCTCGGTCCCCGGAGGAAAGAAAGGAAAAAAACAAAAGCTGTGTTTCGGGGCTTTGTGTGCACGTCACGTCTCTAGATACATACCTTCATCAGCTGTCACTCGTATCTCTACTTTCTTGCTGTCCATTGCCCGTGTCAGACAGCTGGACTCTAGTCCTCGCCTGGCGTCGGGCACTTAGTGCTGTAGCTGCCGATAATCTAACTGGTTCAATTAGGATCCTTTTGTGGGCTGGCTTGTCTAGACACGGCGCCGTGGAATTGCCAGTGCTGGGGAAAATGAGGACACGACAATTATCTGATATCGCACGTTTATGGGGGTTAAATTTGAGGTGGTAGAGAGAGGGGGTGGGGGGGGTGGGAGATGTTTTTGAGAATGAGGAGGCGGATCGGGGGGGCGCTTGTGCGGGCAATGGCCGGGAATCGTAGAGACGGTGTGGTTAGTAGAAGGCTGGGAATATGGTGTGTCCCTATGATACTAACAGCTATGATAATATTATTATGAACGAAATTTCCTTCCTTTTCTCCCGTCGCTGCTATCATATTATCACGTAAGTTCTTTCCAAACTTTGGGGCGCCCCACTTTCGGGCAAGTTTTCCTCCTCCACCGGCACGGATTGGGCGGTGGACGGTAAGTGTCCCAATTCCTGCGTCGCCAGCACCTTTTCGTCCGGGTATCGCTGGATACTCCTTACCGACGCGCTCTCCAAAACATAGTGTACCGTTTCCCTGCCCAGTGTGGGTTGAGCATTTTTTCCTAACACTCGCGCTTTTAATCCATTCGCGGACTCCCAGTCGCGATAACCCCTTGTTTATAGAGCTCGTACGGGTTATTCTCTCTCCCGGGAAATTGCACAGTAGAAGTGGCAGGTCTGTCGCTACTCGGCTCATTTCTGCGCCAGAGTGGGAAGGCTCGAGTGCGAATACGGTGTATGGGTTATTTTTGGAATCGGTAGTGAAAATGGGGGGTCTTTGAAGGGGAGGGGATTGCTGATTGCACAGGGGGCTGGGGGAGGCTGGAGCGGGAAAACTTTCTTTGGAAGGGATGCTCTGAAATAGGGCGTAAGCTCGCTGAGATCGGGGGTGGCAGGGAGGCGGGTTGCTTTAGGGCCTGTTTGGCAAAAATGGAACCATTCCATTTGGCGACCATTTCCCATACGAAAGGTCCATTTCGAAATGGAAGGAAAACGAGGGACAGGGGCTTTTGTATGAGAAATAGTCGCTGAACAGAACGGCTCCATTTTTGCCAAAAAGGGTCTTAGTGATTCATTAGTGGGGAGGAGGTCATACTTGATTGCACATATATCTTGGTCACGAGTGACCTATCTGGTCGAGCAAATTTCTCAATGGGTGGGATGGATATAAATGTTTACGGGTATGATATCACAATATACTAATATTATTTCACCGTCTGGCAGCGGCAGTTTAGTATCCACGGCGAACCAAATTATCATGATCCTTAGCAGGCCCTCCCGTTACTGCCGTATCTTGTATTTCTTAATTCATCCTCTAGTGATTATTAGCTTGAAAACAGGGGTAGAGGATCGGGCGGGTGTTTGACTAACGTTATCTGACAACATTCGCATCCCCCGGATACGGTATTCTCTTTCAGCTCGCCCACTTCCATACAAATTTGAGCAAGACACTAAGTCTTTAGGACAGGAGTAGCCAAGTTTCCTGGCACCGGTTGGGACTTTCAATCTTAGTAATCCACGTGTATATTGCACGGCATCTTGGAAGACGAACAGGAACAGTGCACGAGAAGTTTTTGGGTGTCCCAAGAGCTCCTAGTGTAGGGGGGGGGTTAGGCCTTAGTTAATATGATGATAGTTCCCATAGCTGCACCTCCTCGTCAATAAAAAGCCCCCATATGCTTCTAATTACTGTTGTACTAGGCTCCCTTTCCACTGTTCGGCCGAACAAGCTGCGAGAAAATACTGCAAAATTAGTGACCCGGTAACGAAACACTTTGAAATCGGCAAATATCGCTTTGAACCATGGAAGCGATATTTAAGTTGATGTGGTAAACCACGGCATTGCCCCCCTCCCCCCACTTCTTGGCATTGTTTTATTGTTTTTGGACCCTTGCCCCTGCATATATCCCGGGTTCACAACGCACCAGCAATTTTCCTGCTGTTTTGGTAAGATTTGTGGATAAGGTACGAAGTAAGCCTCGCAACCGTCCGGCCCGGGCCGTAAATTCTTAAGCCTGACCTAAACCTGGCCCAAATCATGTCTGACCTAACCCGAACCAGACCCGATCCAAACAAAGCCCGGGCCCAATTGCGAGTCTTGGTACGAAGTATTCTGTCAAGGAGGAAGGCGGAGTTGTCATTAGAGATCCAAAGTGTGGGGCACTATTGGCCCCTAGGATTTTTGGTGCGATCATAGTTATTGCACCTTTCTTGTTCTATTGAGCATGGTAGTATACCGGCAGTCTAGGAGCCACCAAGAGGTCTTGCGGGCAACCCCCAGAGACAGTGCTGATACTATGGCTTAGTTTCCCGGATCGCAAAGTATAAATCTCCCGTTTGAACGGGATAGTATTACAGGTAAACAGGGGATAAGCTTGCTTAAAAGAGGCTAACCCTGTGTGGTGAGGGTTACCGATTGCTTCTGCTTTTTTCCTTTTTTTCCTTTTTTTTTTGAGGGTAGCTATTATGTTTTTGAGGGTGGATGAAAAGAATAATAAAAATGTTTACAAGTTGTCATTTCAGCCCACCTTTCCATAGTTCTAACCACGAGAGTGATTTTGAGAATGTTGCCGAGGCAAAGAATCTGTCTAACCTGGCCATCAGATGGGAAATACAAGTTGTTAATAAGGTTGTAAAGTCATGGATGAGGAAAAAAACAAAATGTAAAAAGTAAAACAACACTACGTGGGAAATCTGATCACGCACGATATAGTATACAGTAAAAGGGACATAACGATACATCATACATTTAGGAGGAGGGCTGCACTTGCTTCAGGGGTGGCACTTAATCCGAATACAATAAGGAACGGTACGAATTCGGACCCTATCAAGTATCATACCTAGAAAGCTAAAAAAACCTCCTGTGACCACATGCTGGGGGTAGTGGTCCAAGAGTTCCTCATATGGGTGGGGTGAAAAACACATTGAGAGAGCAGTTTCCCTGGATAGATAATTGGAAAAATTCTAATAATTGGGTGGAAATTTGATGGACGAAAATAAATCTCCTGGAAAATAATTTCCCACCAGCGTTTAGTTGAGTTCATTGCATGTAGTTAGTAGGTATAGTGCAGTAGTAGCCATTAGATTTAGTGCGATGTGGGTAAACACGCTCATAGCCAATTTTTTATTTCGTTTACTCCCAAATGTCAGCATTATTGGGCGCGTATTTTGCTTTCCTATCCACAAAAGCTAGGCTCATAAAGGTATGGCTTAGGCCACTCAATGGATCGTCAATAGAGTCCATGACCGGAGGGGGGGTGATTGAGCTTTTCCTCAAGTGGCAATAATTAGAGCTCCATCCAGCTGTAACGCGAGGTCCTGAATACAGACGAAGGGATAGTGAACTGATCTGGGGAGAGAGGGACTAATGGCCTAAGGGTGTTTTAGGACCTCTATTTCTCTGCTCAAAAACTAATTGTTGTAGTATTTACCCACACACTCGGACATTTCTTTCGCTGTTATTATGTTGCTTGGAAATGATCACCACACCTGGTTTCGTGACCTCATGCCCTGACATTCAACAGAACCCACCACACACTAAAACACAAGCATCACATGCACCAGATTTTTCACATCCCCGCCTTTAGGGCAAGGGTGCGTGCAAAAGGCATAAAAGGCCGAAAAATTTCGCCACAGCTGCCTTCTCCTCGCCGCCACCGCCACGACAGGAGCACCGCCACTCCACAAAACAAACCCGAAAACCGTACCTATACGTTTTTCTGAGCCCTCTATTTTTTAAGCATGCCGGTACCCTTTTCCCGTGCCAGGTAATAACTCCTGCCAAATGCCTTCCCTGTATCTCTCCCGCATAGCTAATTTGTTGCGGCCTCAGTCCCGACTTGGACTCCGACTCCTGCTCGGAGGAATTGTATTTCGATGCGAGTGAGGTTCAATACGAGGTCATGCGCGGAGAGCCCGGGAGGAGGGATGGGGAACAAGATGGCGTTATTAACTGTGGGAAGTGTGACTTAAAATTTGTGACCGATAATGCTTTGCATAGCCATATGCGCGATGGCAATGGCGAGCGTGATGCCAGGAAGCATTATTACTGTGTTAAGTGCAGG